CTCCAGCCGCGCCGCCGCGGGGTCCGCCGGGCAGGGGTCGCCCGGGGAGCCTGCGCCCGGCTCCTCGGGGACCTCCATGGCGGGAGCTGCGAGGCTCCTCGCCGCCGGGACACAGGAAGGGAAGCCAGCCCCCAGGCACCGACACACATTCCCGGCGGTGAGTAACACTTCCTGAGGGCGGTGCGCCCCGTCACACCCCGCCCGTTAACTCTTGGGTGTCCACTCGGCGCAGGCCCTGCCCGCTGCCTCTGCTCTGGGCGCCGGCCCAGGGGGCTGGGACGCCCACCACGTTAGCACCCTGGCTGCGGGGGCGCCACCTTCAGAGCTCCCTGTAGCATTGCCGGCCCCCTCTAACCACACCTGGTGGGAATGGGTTACTTGGGGCCGCGCCCTGGAGGCACCTTTCAGCCGGCCTGTGGGCAGTCGCCTTTGCCAGGCCTTGAGGTCAGCCTGATGGCAGAGCGCCGCCTTCTGGCCGCAGATGACTCACTCCAGAGGGCTGAGGGATTTCAGGTTGCCATGGAGAACAGATGCCCGTCTCCATGGAAACAAACCCCTTTGCTTAACTGAGGCTCTGGGGGTGGTTCTAGCACTCAGTGCTAAACAAGGGGGCGTCTGGCTGCGAGGTCGCTGGTACACGGCTGCTGCTGGCTGCCTCCCACGCAGGGGCCCTGCCAATCTGCGGAGCGAACCGGGCAGGTGCAGACTTGACGGTCTCCAAGAACCCGCCCAGCACCCTTCCCCACCCCAGGCCACGTGCTCGGTGCCCTGCTGGCAGCCACAAGCTGCTGACTCTGCTCACTGGCTCCGGGCTCTGTGGCACCAGCAGCTCAGGCCCCAGGACCCACCCTTGCCTTCAGGTTCTCTGCCCACAGGTCTGAGAGGAAGTAGCACGTCAGGGTCTCAGACACTCCTCAGGGGCCCACTTTCCCATGTCAAGTAAATTAGACATACAGGCCATGTCAAGAGTCCCAGGGAGGGTTTTAATTCCAGCCCCTGCCACCTGGCAGGCACTCTGAGAACACCTGGAAGCCTGGTTCCCCTCCACCTCATGCCAGGACGAATTATGGCTCTGAGCCCCACCCCCTCCCCCATGGTGGGATCCAGCATGGGGGCTGGGGTGCCAGGGCAGCAAGCAGCTGGCTTCAGTGGGGTGTGTCTTTTTGTCAGGGAGGACGGGGGCTGGTCTTCTGGAGTGGGAAATAGGCGGGCCAGCTCCAGGCCCAGAGCTGCACTGGCCCCGGAGGGGACAGAGGAGTTGAGGCTGGTGGCGCAGAAGGGTGGCCTGGCTGCAACCCTGGGAGCCGCTGGGCAGACACCATGGTCTGCCGATCCACCAGTCTGCAGCCGGAAACAAGAGCCAGTGTGGTGCCAGCGTGCCGTGCACTCTGAGGAACCCCTGGGCCGCAGCAACGGGGTCATGGTCCTGGGGCTTGGGTGGAAGGGAGGAAAAGTAAAAGGGGAGGAGCCCTTTTAGATGGGGACTGATGACAGGCCTTAGCTGCCCTGTCCCCTCCCCGCAGCCATTGCCCAGTTCTCCAGGCCAGCCCCTGGCCCCCTCTTCCAGCTGGGGGCCTGCTCATTGCTAGCATCCCTCAGCTCAGCCAACCCAGAGCCCCCCATGCTCACAAAACTTCCTCGGAACCCAGGTGGGTCTTGTCCCTGGCCCAGGCTGTGACGGGGTGGGGTGGGGGGGAACTAGACTTCTCTCGGCCTTGTTCCTGAGGCTGGTCTGGGGGAGCGTAGTGCCAGTGGGGGGTGGGGGTGGTGACATCAGGGGCTGGGAGAGGCACGAGCACCCCAGAGGTTCTCACCATCTGATTTCCTCTTCTGAGGAGACACTGCTGCTCTGGCCTGGAGGGTGGGGGTGAGCACAGCCTCCCTGAGCCCCCCCCAGCCTGCGAACCAGCCCCCTCCCGCCCCAACATCAGCCACCGTGAGGGCAGAGACTCCACTGAGGGGCGTGGGCGGGCACCAGAGCCAGGTTCTATGGGGTGTGAGGTCGGAAAGCCAGCAGCTCTCCAGCCCTTCCTCGCCGCCCCTCGCTCCCAGCCGGGACAGGGCGGGATGGGCTGGCCAATGCTCCCAGGCCAGCTCATCCCATGGGCACGGAGGGGAGGGGGTAAGGCAGGGGGTCCTGAGGGGCCACCAGAGACCCTGGACCCACCTTTTTGATGGCAGTCCAGTCCTCCAGGATGTCAATTTCCTGCAGCATGTAGACGATGTAAGGTCCTGCGACTGCGTCAAGGAAGCAGGTGACAAGGGGCAGGCCAGCCCACAGGGCACAGGGTGGCACAAGGCTAGTTAAGAATGGGTTCCTGGGGGGGGTGGGGGTGGCGCCCCCTCTCCCCAAGCTGCCCTCCTCCTGTCTGCTGTTCCAGGTGAATTCCTGTCTGCACCAACAGGCCCCTTCCCCTGGCCTCAAAACACCAGTCTCCTTCCCCCTTTAGACAAGTCTCACTGGCCCCCTGGGGACTGCCTACTGCCCCCTCCTGTTTTGTGTGTGATGTCCCACACCCTCACTCTGTCGTCAGGTCCTCTGCTCTGCTGCCTTAGCCCCGTCTCCAGCAGAGAGGGACCTGAGGGCCCGGTGGCTTCATCAAGGCCTTAGAGGGGGCCTGGGGTGTCACCTCGGGGTGTAGACATGCCAGGAGGGCCGAGGGTGATGACCTACACAGGGGGGGCTCCTTCCTGGAGGCGGCAGCTGTGGGGATGAGCAGTAAGAAGACCGATGAAGCTGGGACGGGGGTTGAACCCCCGCAGAGGGAGGCCGGAGCCAGGTATGAGGAGGTATGGGTGGTGGAGACAATGTAGGAATACCAGAGAGCCCCCTAGATCACCCTTAGCCAGGGATCCCTGGGGCATCAGACCTGGTATTTCTTTTCTCTGGTCCACCCGGCCCAGGAGCCTCGGGTGGGGCCCTCTGGATGAGTCCCTGGCAGCTGGGTTTGCCTGAGCAGGGTCACATGACACCACACAACCCTGGACCGGTCCGCGTGCCCCTGCCTGCGTGCAAGGATACCCGAGACGAGGGGTGCCTTCTTCCTCTTGCTGGGCGGCAGGGCGTCCCACGCCGTGGCGCTGCCCCGGGGGTGCAGCTTGTCGTCCCACCATTCTGTGACCCAGAGTTGAGGTCAGCTGCTGGCCCTCCAGGATTCCTCTCCCCCACACCCAATGGGGCCACAGGGGGAGGCTGGCGGCCCTCGCTGGGTCCCAACTGCACTGTGACCTCAAGGCCTCACTCTTCCTTTGCTGAGTGGACAGGTGACGAGGGCAGTGGCAGCACTGCCAGCTCGTGCCCTCCCAGGTCCCCTCTGGGCTAAGCAACTGACCTAGGTGCTGTGGCCATGAGGGCCTATGGCCAGTGTGTGGGGACAGGCCAGCTGGCTCCTCCCATTCTGGACAGACAATGGGCAGGAGGGCATGGGGCAAGGGCATGGGGCAAGGGCATGGAGCATTCTCAGTCCCAAAGGGCAGGGGGCTGGGGAGAGGGGCGGGGAGTGGGGGGCCATGGCATCTGCCAGCCTCACCGGAGCTGATGTCCAGGCTCTGGCGGTCTTCCTCCAGCCTCTGGATGCGCCCCTGCAGCTCCCCCTGCAGGGCGTCGTAGAGCAGCAGCTTCTCGCTCTGGAGAGGCAGGCAGCTCAGCGTGGTGGGTCCCAGGGAACTACCTCCCAGCCCACCTGGGCAGGCCGGCGCCCCTCACCTCCAGGTGTTGCTTGGCACCCTGCAGCTCACACTCATACTTGTTCCTGATCACATCGAGGCAGAAGCCTTTGTAGATGCCTGTGCAGGAGGAAGAGGGGCCACCGAGGAGGGGGGCCAGGAGCACCGGGCGGGGCTCTAGGGCGGGATAGAGGGCCCCTGGGTTCAGGACACTCCACACACCTGCCACCTGGATGCGAATCTTGAGGCTCTGCTGCAGCCCCCCCAGAGGCTCCGTGTACTCGGGGGCTCTCTCAGCCCCCACTTCCTCCAGCCTCAACCGCAACTGACTCAGCCGCTCCCTGAACAACCTGGGAGGGGAGAGATGATTCGGCCCAACGGTGGGTGGTCGGTGTCCTCGGGCAGACCCCCACCCACTGAACCTTGCAGGTCTCTGGCCTGCTGCCTGTTCCCCCAGGGGCGCCCGCTCACTTCTCTTTCAGCTCCGAGAACTGCTTCTCCAGGTCCAGCATCTCACTGACACACTCGCTGCGCCGCCGCTCGTAGTCCTCATCGTCCATCTCTGGGGGCGAAGGAAGGGCCGGTCAGGGCTGCGCTGACCATGAGGGTGAGGGGCAAGCGGGTGGGTGCCTGTGCGCACACGGACACACTCACCGGAGCTCTCCTCTTCGGACTCTGTGGGGCTGCCGCTGCGCTCCTCCTCGCTCTCATCCTCCTCCCCGTTCAGCTCGGGTGCTGAGTCGCCCTCCGCTTCCATCTCTTCGGCAGCCTCCTTGCTGGAAGGCTGGATGGGCATTGGGGCACTGGGAGAAGGGGAGGGGCTCCCACTTAGCACTGGGACAGCAGGGAGGGGACTGGCTTTGCCTCCCTGACCTTCACCCTCGACGGAGACGCTTCAAGGTGAGCGGTATCAAGAGTCCTGGGTGCAAGTCTCCCCAAGAAGCCTGGCAATGCCCATGCTCCCTTACCCCGTTAGTGATCTGCACCCTGGGTGAGCTGCCGACCAACGGCCGAGTGAGTCACAAGTTCACAGACCAGAAGGGCCAAGGGCAGGTGTGAAGAACATGAAACTGATCAGGCAGCTTCACAGGTAACAAACCAACATACACAGCTGCAGGAAAGGCTGGGTAACACGCACCCAGCTACAGGAAGTGTGGCCCCTGGATACACAGTTCCTATCCTGGGAACGCCCAGTGGGAGTGGTAAGAGGCGGTGAATTTTTTTTCCGAGACCAGCCTTCAGCACCGAGTTCTCCTCCTCCTTAAAAAGCTCTCTAGGGACTATAAACACTACACCAGAAATGTTCCTGACATCATCTTACAACAAGAAACCCGCCGCCATGGCGTCAATGCCAACTCAGTGACCCCTAGGCCAGGGTGCAACTGCCCCGCTGGGTTTCCAAGGCTGTAACGCTTTACTTTGTATTGGAGTAGAAAGCCCATCTAGCTTTCTCCCCAAGGAGCAGCTGGTGGTTTCCAACTGCTGACCTTGCGGTTAGCGGTCCAATGTGTAACCCACTACGTCACCAGGGTTCCTTTTTTTGGGGGTGGGGGGGTGTTGGAAAAAGGCTTTAGTGTGACCATGACGTTTTCAGCATGCTTCTTCACACCAACCAAGCACTCGCCCGATCTCGTCTGTCTCACACCAACAGCTGAGCTTCATGAGTCAAGAAGGTCTGCCTAGAGCATAATGCTCTTTTAAGAACTATCTATCTAGGGTCCAGTGGGAGCTCTGGTGGCGTGGTGCTTATGCACTGGGCTGCTAACTGCAGGGTCAGCAGTTCGAAACCACCAGCCGCTCTGAGGAAGAAAGACAGGGCTTTCTACTGCCTTAAAGAGTCAGTCTTGGAAACCCACATGAGCTGTTCTACCCTGTCCTATAGGGTCAACATTGACTCGATGGCAATTGTTTTTGGGGGGTGGGAGAAAGGGGTTTTATGGGACCCAACAGGCAAAAGCAACTCAAAAGACTAGGTCAGAACCTTTGGGAGCAGTGAATTTATGTTAACGAGGGAGGCACAACTCAGAAAAGGATGGGGAGAATGGTTGCCCACCGTGAAGAAAATGCCATTGAATAGTACGTGTAGAAATTGTCCAACCAGCGTATGTTTTGCTGTGTATAGTCTCAACAACAAAGTCGGCCAAACATAGGAAAACAAAGTACAGCAAAGCCCAAGGCTTCTCCTGCCGAGGGCCTGGGACCAAACTCCTCCTCGGGGTTTCCAAGGCCCTTCACAGAAGCACCTGGGCAGCTCCTTCTCCTCACAGACAGCCCACCACCCTCCTCCCTCTTCTCTTCTCTGATGACCCCTGGAGCTCCAGCTAGAACCTCATCGCCCGTCACACGCTTGAACCCTTAAACACTAGTCCGTGGATGTACCTAGAAACGAGAAAAGGGCGTCCATGTGTGGTTCTAAGCCTCCAAGAGAACTCCAGCTATTCAGGCCAAAGGGGAGGGTGTGGAGTAAGAAGGGCCTACTAGAACTTCCAGGTGACCCGAGGGGCTGATGAGGAGAAGGACATTAGGAGGGAAAGAAACAAAGTGAAGGGCAGAGAGCACTTCAGAGGGAAGGAGTGGTTAGCAAGGGCCTCCTGCTGTGAAGAGATTCCCAGCAGAGGATCTCACTGCCTGATCATGAAGATCTTCTAGCTGTTGGGGCCACTGCTTTGCAGTCCTCTAGCCGCTACTCCCTCCAGGAAACCGTCCTCCCATCTCCTTTCCATTCGCCCAGTCTCATGCTGTCTGCCAGTCTCTGAGCCTCCCCAGGGCAGGGCCTACACATCCTTCTTCGGGCACCTAGCCGCAGGACCGGCCAGTACAAATGAAGTCAAGCACACTTTTGCAGGGCAAAGATTGGCCTTTGTCTTTCAGGCACCTTGGCTGTGATCCCCAAACCCAAAGTGTCCTTTTGCATCGGTTGACACTGGTTCAGGTCGTCAGGTACCTGGCCGAAGAGAGTCAAATTACAGTCTGCGATGATGTCACCAAAGACCTAAAGGTGACCAGACGGGGAACCTTCATTCCTCCTTGCTAGCCTTCACTTCCAGGTTCTCTGCACCACCTCTCCTCTTTCCCCCTTCCCAAGCCTCACTGCGCCATCAGCTCCTTCCGTTTGTAATCCTCTTCACTGTCAAATGCCTGTTCGGTAAGACTCAGGCCTATGTCTTACAGCTTACAGAAAAGGAGTGTGTGTGTGTCGCTATCCCCAAGCTATCGATCTCTAACTGTCCTGGGGGAGCTAAGTCACAACCGTTAACTTCGCTTGTGTGCAAAATGGTCATCCCCGCTCCAGTGCTGGAAAGATGGAAAGGGGTAAGCGCAGTGCACCTGCCACTGAGCTTTGCAGGCCGCGAACGCCAGGAAGGTAGCTCCCCCTGCGAGGCGGGCCCCTCCCCACCCTCCTCTCCTGCGCGACGCCCGGGAGCCTCGGCCTCGCCCCACCTTCGGATGTGCCTGCGCGGGCGGGAGAAACCGCGTCCGGGTTCGGCCCCGCACGCGTCGGGTCGGTTAAATCTCCGGAGCGCGAGGGTGGGCCGGGCGCGCCCGGAGAGACCGCACCAGGGCCTGGGGGTAGCCATACGCACCGCGGAAAGGGGCCGACGCAGGCCTCAAGTCTGGGACTCCCTAAGAAGCAACCAAGGTGGTTGGCTTTCGGCCGCCGCCAGGCTCCCGGAAGCGCCGCGCCGGTCGCTCTCCTCCGGGGGGCGGGGCCTGGGCGCGCTTCCGGGTGCGTCATCGGAGGGCGCCCGCCGGGGAGCTCACCATTGGACGGCTGGGGACCTGGCTTGCTGGGATACCGCGGGCCGGTCTCCATGGCAACCACCGGAGCTTTCTGATGAGGCCTGGGCCTGCGGCAAAGGCCCCAGTGGTTGCTTTGCTTTGTCGCCCATGCCCCTCAGTCCGCGGCCACCCGCCCCTGGCGTCCAAGGGGCGAACCGAGAAACCTCCCTCCCTCCAGCTTCGGAGAGAAACGGAGCCAAGTGTGGGTGTGAACACGCATTTATTTACACATTGGCATCAACTGGCAAAGTCCCAATACAAGTCTATTCTAGGGTACAGATTTCCGCTCGCACCTCAAGCCTGCAGACCCTTCTCTTTCTCCAAAGCCCCCCGCGGGGGCCGCGGTGCCGGAGGTGTATAGGCCTCTGCCCAAAACCAAGAACAAAATTCCACGCCTGCATCTGATTTCTTTCCCGAAAGCTCCATCTGTGAAGTACCCTCCCACCGCGTCTCAGAACCCTCAGCTCTGTCCCTTCATAGCCTTGGCTCTCCTTCCACCCGCACACCAGGTTGTTAATAACAATAACAGTAGTGATAACAACAACAATAATACTGTAATAATATTAATAACACTTCACATTTGTACGAAGCTTAGAGTGTGTTCACAGACAGCGTCTCAATCTGAGCCTCCCAACAGTTCCGTGAGGCGGGCACTCCCACCTCCCTGATAACAGACCGGTCCCCTGAGGCTCAGAGAGGTCAGGGATTTGCGCAAGGCCACACAACTAGTTAGTGGTTAAGCTAGGACTTGATCCTAGCACCCCATGTTCAAGTCCAGTGTTCCAATGCCACAGCTCCCTCTGCAAAGTGGAGTGACATTTCTTTCCCCAGTCGGGCCCAGGGGCAGCCTGAGGGCAAGGAGGCAGAACTTTCTCCCACTGGGGCAGGAGGTGAGCTCAGCAGCGGCGGGGGGAGTTGGGGTACTTGGTCTTCAACTCCTGTTTGAACTGACGGTACAGGATCTTATTGTGCTGATTTTCAGCCTCCTTCTGGGGATGGAACTTCAAGGCTTCCTTGAAACCCTTATGAACCAGGAAACCTTCATTCAAAACCTCGAAATCGAACCCGGCCACGTGCAGCTCACAGGTCTGTGGGAGGAGAGACAGGTCAGCAAAGTGTGGAGACCCTCCTGGGGCCCAGCGTGATCCCCCCCACACACCTAAAGTTGAACTTCCAGCGCCCAACCACTTACTGACCTAGGCCCCCTCTCCACGCCCCCTGCCACCCAGCCTGGCTCATCCCTGCCCATCCACGCACCCTCACTGCCACCTCTCCCCACTTCCCTCACGGTCCCCTCTTTGGGCACCTGGCTGATGCGATTGAAGCCGTACTGCCGGAATCGCTCGTCGAAGGGGGGCACCTTCCCATCGGCCACGTAGAAGGGTTCCCAAGGGTCTTGCCAGGGCACGACGTAGGAAGGTCTCAGCAGGCTCTCTTCGGGCAGGTTAACCCAGCGGGAGTAGTTGGTGGGCGCCTGGCAGGGCGTGCACAGCCCATAATAGAAGGGCCGCACCTCGCCCACCTGATAGAGCTGCACCAGCTCGTTCTTGCTGATGGGCATGCGGCGGGCTCGGCGAATCTCGAAGGCAGGCACCACCAGCGCGGTGCCCCCCCACTGCTTGCTCTGATCCAGCAGCTCCCGCAGGCCTCTCCAGAGCCCCTCACTGGGCACCATGTCCACGTCGATCACCAGCGCGTAGTTGGCCCCCTCGCGAGCCAGATTCCTCAGCAGATTATTGGGGTAGGAGACATTGGTGCCCAGCGCGTAGTTGATGCCGGGCTGGGCCACCCTCGCCAGCTTGTTGAAGACTTCCTGACAGGAGCGCAGCAGGGCAAACTCACCCGGCTCCCGGGGGTCGGGTACGGCGGCTTCGTAGCGCGAGGGGCACACCAGGTGCATAGCGACCCTGGCGCGCATGTCGGGGCAGTGGCTACTCAGCGCGTAGGCCAGCACCGTGGCCAGCTGCGCCTCCTCCTTGGTGGCCGCGAACACCGAGACGGACATCGGGCCCTCCCAGCGCTCCAGCAGGCCGGACAGGTGCAGCAGGTTGTCCACACTGGCGTGCGTGGCCAGGATCACGTCGTTGGGGTCCATGGCGGTCTTGAGCAGGCCCCTGTAGACGCGGTAATCGCCGCTGGAGTCCAGGACGCCCCCCGAGGCCAGCGCCGTGCGGAGCTGCGACTTGACCTGGTCCACGGATCTCGGGGACGGGGGGAAGAACTCGAAATATTGGTCTTGTTCCTCCTGCCCGTGCAGCCCGGACAGCAGCGACAGGTAGAGCAGCTGCAGCATTGCGACGAGCATCAGCGCCGCCAGGAGCAGCTGGTAGAAGGCGCACCTGATGGCGTAGGACATCTGCATGGCTCTCGGGGCCCGGAGCACGCAGCAGCGACCACCAGCCGCAGCCTCTGCCAGCCGCCGCGAGCCCGGATTTACCGCAGCGTGCCGAGCGCAGCCGAGCGCAGCCGAG